CTTTTCGAAAGACATGGAGAATGCTTCAGATTGGCTAGTTAGTGACCCTGGTACTGAGGAGGTCTTCCCTGGAGAGGGTTTGACATTGGAAATGGTCGAGGAGGCTCCGAGGCAAGCTTCCAATCCTAGGAGGGCAACTCGAGCAACTTCTTCTGCTGGTACTTCACGGAGGGAGAAAGAGGAAGAGGAGGAAGATTCAGAAGAATCTCTGAAAGAAGGGGAATATGTTGAAGAGGGTGATGATTCTGATGATGATGGCCTCAATTCTGATGTAGATGAAATCAATGAAGATGATGATTCTGATTCTGATTCTGATTCTTATTGATGTCTTGATTGTTTTCTCTCTTCTTTTGTAGTAACTTTATTGCACCATCTTGGTTAGGGCTTTAAACATTTGGACGATTTTTATTCAGTTATGTGGTTTGTAATTTTTTTGCCTTTTTGGACTATTTCGTTGTGTGGTTTACTGGTTTTTTTATAGCTTTGGAAGTCAGTTTGTTGAAGACTTGGAGAGTTAGAGACTTGGATGTTATTATGGTTTATTTTATGGATATGGAATATGGAGAATATGAAAGTTGGAGACCTTACAATAGCCTATTAGACTTTTAAATGTTTTGTATGGTTTAAAATTTTGAATAAGTTTATTCTCAACTTGATTACTTGAGTGGCTTGTTTGTATATAAAAACTTATGTTGCAAACTTGCGATATTTTCAAATGGAATAAATTACAAAATTTGACACAAATATATGCATAGATGTACATTTGGAGAGCAAATATATAAAAAAAAAAACTAAGAATTTGCACCACAAGACGCCTGAGCTTCTGAGCATCCGCCTAGGCGCTGGGCGCCAGGCAGGCCGCCTACCGTTTTTTGAAACCTTGCATGGGAGGCGGGGAAAATACATTGACTAAATGTTTGAGTAGACAATGGAATCAAAAAATCTACATCTCATGAAATGCTTCACTTGTCGATATGTGGAACAAGTCAATTAGATATTAAATGTTATTGTCATCCTTTTCTAGTTGCCATAGGAGGCCAATTTTTATTTTAAAATGAAATTTCAAGTTAATCTATAATTGTTTGGGAAAGTTATAGATAACCCCCTTGACCTTATGATGCTGAGAAAAAAAAATTAATTAATTTTTATTATTAGGATTTTTGAGTTTATCTTTTAACTCAAGAGTGGGAGGTGCACAAGGATAGGAAATGAGTTGTGCGTGAATTGATGTTGATCAGTTAGTTTAGGAACATAACTAGGATAAGGTTAAATCTGGTTTTTTAGGAGCATAAATAGGATAAGCTTAGATATAGGGGGGTTTACCTTTCCAACAATAGCTTTGGGTAAAACGTGGGTGGCACGTGAATTTAAGAGAGAGAAGATAGGGATGAGAGAAAATAGGTTAAGGGGGATAAAATAGGAAAGTCAGTTGTTTATCTTCTTTTCTTGTTTGTAGTCAATTTGAAAAGAGGTTTCCCTTCATTGTAAAGTGGTGAATGACTTAATAAAATTTGGTCTCGTGAAGAGATTATTTTGGGGGTGGATTCCCTTGTAGACCTTGAGAGAGGGTATATTCTCCCAACTTTTTATTTTTATTTTTCCCGTGTTATTTTCTCCCTGCATCAATTGGTATCAGAGCAAGTCAGATTCAGATAGCAAGTCAGAGAATATCCGGTTTGTTTTGCAAGTTAATCCTGCTCCTGCTATGGAAGATCGTTGGATACAAGCTATAGAAAATTTGACTAAAGCCGTAGAGGATTTTCGAACTGAATTACGTGAGATGAGGATACAACGGTTGGAACAGAGGTTGCAGCAGTTGGCGAACAATCTTCATCATGAAGAAGGTGCTCGCAACCACATTCATCTTGCACCAATAATTCCACAACAAACCGAGAATGTTGATTTCAAGCGTAATGAAGAAATTTACAAGACAGATCCACGTCTTATAGAGCAACCACGAGATTTTGAGATTAAAATCGATCTCCCAAAATTTCATGGTCAAAAGTGTTCATCGATTGCATATGGGACGTCTTTGGAGCTGGACCCATTCCTGGTTAGAAATAATCAGCCCAAGCTCGTATTCAACAATTACTCTTGGAATATAATTGCAGGTAAAGAGTCTTACATTAGTCTTGAAGACATTGAAGAAGAAATTAGCCTTGAAGAAATTGAAGAAAAGGTGCCGAGAGGCAGGGTGGGATTACCTCACCAATTAGCAGATGGAGATTGGCTTCAAGCTCGAGGTCGAGCTTCTCCCAACCTCGGGAGAATGATGCAGAGAAAATAAAATTAATTAATTTTTATTATTATTAGAATTTTTGAGTTTATCTTTTAACTTAAGAGCAAGAGGTGCGAGGGATAGGTGGGCATGAGTTGTGCGTGAATTGATGTTGATCTTTTCAACAATAGCTTTGGGTAAAACATGCATGGCAGGTGAATTTTAGAGAGAGAAGATAGGGAGGAGAGAAAATAGGTTAAGGGAGATAAAATAGGAAAGTCAGTTGTTTATCTTCTTTCTTTTTTTAGTCTATTTAAAGGGAGGTTTCCCTTCATTGTAAAGTAGTGAATGACTTAATAAAATTTAGTCTCATGAAGAGATTATTTTGGGGTGGATTCCCTTGCTGACCTTGAGAGAGGGTATATTCTCTCAACTTTTTATTTTTATTTTTCCCGTGCTATTTTCTATTTTCTCCTTGCATCACCTTACTTTCTAATACCCCCTCCCCCCCAAAAATAAATAAATAAATAAATGAATATTTTGTATATCATACCACTAACCCCAAAACTGTTAGTAGGGTCTTTTAGGATGAAAATACCCCCAATACAACACATATTTTTCTCAAGACAAAAATCCAACTAGACCGGCACAATGTGTGCCAGACCGGCTTTTATTTTAAACAATGTGCCACTCCAGTACACATTGTGCCAGACTAGCTTCACTTTCAAAATAAAGCCGGTCCTGCACATATTATGCTAGACCGGCTACATTTTAAACAATGAGTCAGTCTTGCACATATTATGCTGGACTTGCTTTATTTATAAATGTGAAGTCCCCCAGACACAATGTGTGCCGGACAGCCACATTGTTTAAAATATGTTGGCATCATTTAAAAAAACCCAGAGGGGGTGAGAGAAACGTGTGTTACAAGAGGAGTTTAGGGTTTTTAAGGGGGAGTGGGGGGGTGGTTGCAAAAATAAACAATTTTGGGGTAGTGCTATGGTTTTCGAAGTTTTTGGGGTGGGTTGTGGGGCGGCATGCCTAGACAGTAGGGTCATGGGGGCTATCTATAATGTTCCCTTATTGTCATCACAACCAGATTTTGAAAGCATATTTGTGAACTTCTTTGAGATATTTGAGGCTTTTAACTGGTTTTTATCAATTAAACCAGTTTGATGACCAGTCAAACCACTAATAGAATAGGAACAGCTGTCCAATTTGATATCCAATCTGGTTTTGACAACACTGATGTATATGTCATTTTAGGTTAGTTACAAAAAACAATTATTTTAAACTCAAATTTCATGTATATCTCTTCTTAGGTAAGTTATAAAATACTTGTCAAAATTGAAAGGATCAATTTAACATAATCAATATTTATCAAATTTTAGCAACTGTCTATTTGATTTCTACATTAAAGATTCATATCCTTATCTTAAACTGCATTCACGATATTATCATCCTGGATTTCTACAACAATGATAACGTGGCTTCCAAGAACCACGATGTTTTCAAATTGTCAGGATTGTACCAGCATTTAATCAAGTGTTCATGTTATTGCAAAAAAGGCCTCATATAATACCAACAATATTTGTTACTAAGGACTGACTAGATCATATACATCATCTTTGGAGGTCCTCCTCCTAAAGGTTCCACACTATCCATCTAGACTAATAAAATCTCACGAGTACCACTGTCAAATGAAGTAATCTCCCAAACTTTCCATATTCTTCTTCATTTTTCTTTCTATTTTTCTTTCTTTTTATTTTTTATTTTTTTTTTTGTCTTTTGGGTTTGACACAACTCCACTTTCTCCAATTAAATCCCCATACTCCCCCAAAATAAATTTCTCTATATAATCAAATTCTAGACACCATTTAAGGGAATCACACAAAAAGTCATGGATGGAACATTAAAGATAGTGACGTGGTATTATGGAAGCATAGATGCACCAACTATCTTTAATCCAGAAAAAGATCCTTACAACCCAAATGCGATTCAATCCTCCTACCTATGGGTAACTAAGCATCCCACTTGACAAAGACATATGTTACCAGTAACCCAGAAAAACATAATAAAAAACACAAAAAGATGGTTTTACCTTAACAGTGAAGTGATGATAGTGGAACCCCATTCAGGAAATTTAGACCACCTTTTGATAATACTTAACAGCAGGCTAAGTACACCCACAAATAATATGAAATTAGCACAAGATACAAAAACCAGGGAACTTAAACCAATTGACCTTAGAAAAAAACACTTCAGGCTAAGAATATAAGCCTCCAATTGGCCTTAGAAAATATAACTTCAAGCTGTGAATACAAACCTCCAAGAACTCCATAATATTACATGCAATAAATCTAATCACATTTTGCTTATCTAATCACATTTTGCTTAAGTTGCAAACGCTGGCCAGTCAAAACCAAACAAAATATACATACATTTTAGACAATACAACCAGAATTAATACATACATATTAAAAGCCAATATACGTATCATAAATTAGAAACTAAGATTCTCGTGGTTCTCGCAAGCACTAAAACAAATGTATATGCAGTTCAATCTCTCCATGTACACACCTAAATAAAATAATTGACTTGAACAGGTATCAACCCACTTCAGGTTTACTATTTTAATTCCAGTTTGACAAGTGCTAAGTGAATTACCAAATTGGATAAACAACTAGTTTGAAGACGTAAAACAGGGAATGAAACCCTAGTTTACCATGTCAACTTAGGCTTCACATATCGACATTTTCAGAGTCTCTGACCTGTGTATTACCTAAATAAAATCTCCATCAAATAATCACACCAAAACTTTCAATTACCATCTCGGCGTCCAAATTCAAGCACACCCATAATTCAATAATCACCTAACACAAGTGTCATAACTGATATAAAATTTCAACTCAAATTCAATAAACGATTAGACAAAGTTACTTTCAGAAGCTGCTATATTAAAATTTCCAAAGCAAAAGCAAGAGAAAAACCCTAACTCCATTGGAATAAACTGTAATAAAAACACATGGTAAGCTTCATATACTAACCTGTTCACGGATGAATCTAGGGTTCGTATACAGGTCTCTGATATGAATTTGATAAAAGAAGAAAAAAATATGATGATTTTTCTAAGAAATCAAGGCTTTTGTCATCAAAGGAGGCTTAACAGTGTTAGTTTTGGGGGCGTGGAGTTTATGGAGCATTTACGCCGTGGAATAAATTTCAATCGTTGATGACCGCTAGATTGAAATCGGGTGGTTAAAAGACGACAGCTTTTTGTTTAGGATTTTCCATCTAACAGCTAAAAAATGTATACAATTATACCATTTACCTTTCGTACAAGGTGGCCACAATTAATCTTGACCATTAGATGTCAAATTGAGTTGCTGCATTTATTTCATTAACGAAGCTTAAACTTTAAAAGAAATTTTTTCGAATTTTGTAACATACACAAGCTATTAGATTTCACATTGAATGGTTGTAAGTAATTGTGACCTCCTATACACAAGATAAAAGAAAAAGTTTATATAAGGTTGAACCTTAAAATGTAGAATTAAATATGCACATCAAATATCCATTGGAAAATGGTGTTTTAATATTGAAAAACCCTCTAATTGATCATCTTGACATAGGGAGTATGAATATGACAAAAAAAAAAAAGATTTTGATTCCTATAAATAATGCATCTTACAACATATTATCTAGACCGTCCATTTTCAAGATTTTCATATGTTTATAGATCTACTTGATTTTAGCCATTTTTGAAGTTTTAAAATTTACATTTAGAGATAAAAATAGATTTTCAGATAATCTTAAGAATTTTTTCACCAAAATTTCATGTTATTAATTAAATCTGGAGGTGTGCCTTATTTGGATTGTTTAAGGTTGCAACCTTGTAGAAACCACACCCAAAGTTAAATGGTCTCATTGTATATAATCCCATTGCCAAAAATGATTGTGACTTCCTTGTATCAAAATTAAATAGTCGTATGGTATACAATCAAGGCAATTCTCTCATTTTGTTTTAAGAGATTATATACAATGAGGTCATTTATCTTTGATACAAGATGTTCATAATTACTTACAAGATTGTATACAAGGAGACCATTTGTCTTTGATACAAGGTGGTCACAATTACTTATAACTATCCGATGTAAAATTTGATAGCTTAGATGTGTCACAAAGTTTCTAGAAAATTTCTTTTGAAATTTAAACTTAATCAATGGAATAATTGCAGCCACCAAGTTTCACATTCGATGGTCAAGATTAATGTGACCACTTTGTATCAAAGGTAAATGGTCTCATTCTATACTTTTCCAAAAATAAAATGAATGGGAATGTTTTTAATCTTTACCATTGGATGTGAAACTGGGTGGCTGCAATTATTCCATTGACCAAGCTCAAACTTCAAAAGCAACTTTCTGGAACCCCGTGACACATCTCAGCTACCTTGTATTAAAAGTAAATGGTCTCATTGTATAAAGTCCCTTTATTTTTTTCACCAAGAAGTTATGCCTAGTTCCATGATATAATATGATCTACACGATCATATGAATTATATAGTGCAAGCAAGAAAAAATAAAAGAAATTCATTTTGTTACCTAACCTTTTACGGGTATTTGAAATTTGCCATTGTCCATATATATATGATTAACTAGAAATTTGGCCGAAATCACAAATCTAGCAAAAAAGAATTACGAAATAAAAATAAGACAAATCAACAAGAGAGAGAAACATAGAGACTCTATAGAAGGGAAAGGGGGACCATTTTCTTTCGAAAATGAGAAAGATATGAGAGAGAGAGAGAGAGATTATCTCGTGGAAATCTGTTGGGGAGAGAGATACGGTTTGTGCAGGAAAAGACGACAGAAAAAAAGGAGGGAGGGAGCGAATGAGAAAACATTGATTTATGGAAAGAGGTTAAAAAGAGAGATTCGTTGAGAAAATTTTGAGGGGAAAGACAAGGGAGGTGCGGGGAGAGAGAAAGAGAGGAGAGAGCGTGGAGAGAGAGAGAGTGAAGGTAGTGAAAGGAGGAGAAGGAGAGAGATTCAAGGTGAGACAAAAAAAAGAAAAATCTAAGGAACAGATTGAGCGAGATATTTAAGGAGAGGGGGATAAGTGAGAGGGTAGAAACAAATGAGAGAGGAGAGAAACTACCTGAGTGATTGTTAGAGAGAATTAAGGAAGCGGTAATCTTTGGTTTTAAAACTTTTTGAAAAATAGAGTTGGTCGGGCCTAGATCTACCTCACTCGGGCTACCTCGGGGACCCGAGTTCGATTGATCCCCTCTCAACTGCCTGACTTCACGAGCACGTGTGCGGTTCATGTATCATGTGTGGATAGGTAAGTCCAACTATGAGACGATTTTAAAGCAATAAAGGGATGGACTCAACCACCTATCTCACTGCGGTTTGAGTTCGTGGGATAAGCTCAAGCTATTGCCCTCTTAGATCAATTAACGAAAGCCCTCCGGCTGTCCAGCAGCACGGTTTGGATGCCGCCCCCTCTCTAAACTCAACACCTCACCTCAACTCTCACTTGAAAACTGCTAATGAAATCCAAATATAATGTACTCCTTTTTTATGTACTTCTTATGGGTAAATGTCTCTAGTTTTGGGGTAGAATGGTAGGACAAGAATAAAAGGAGATTGATAAGAAATTGGATTAGAGATGAGAAGAAGAAGAAGAAGAAGTAAAAGAAGCCAAGGGATGACGCAAAGAAAATTGGGCAACCTCCGGGTGTAACCTCTCCCAAGAGGTATTACCGAAGATAAGAAAAAGTACTAGGCACGAAGCCTTGGTGCCCAGATGATTTGGAAAGTGGAGTTTGAGGACTGAGCCTATAACTATGTCACTAAACCAAATAGCCTTCTAAATGTAATCAAGGAAGAGAAGAAAATGAAAGAGAGAGAGACAAAGAGAGAGAGAGAGATGAGAGATGAAAGTCTCTCACAACCCAAACATTGTGTGAATCGGTGGTTAGAGTAGTGGAGGGGTTAGAACTCTAAAGGAAGCTGACTCAAGATAACCCTAACCTGAGTGATCGAGTGTAAAAGAATCAATGTCTCTTAGAACCCGACTTCACTGTATGAGCTGATGGTTAAAGTAGCTATCCAAGAGTTAAAACCCTAAAGCACTATCTCAGGATGACCCCAAATCGAGTGCTCGAGAAGTGAAAGAAACAACGAGTAAAGAGAGAAATAAAGGAGTGATGAAATGAAAGAAAAGTAAAATAAATGGGAAGTTGAAGTATGATTTAGAGAGAGAAGAGAGTGTTTAAGGTGAGAGAAAATGAGATGAATGGACTCAAGGAATGATGGACCCACCTATGGTACGTGTTCGGACTCTAAAGGGGAGATGAGAGGATAGAGTTGGTGAGAGAATGGAGAACATATGAGGCTAGTATGAGAATGTGGGGGAGATAAAGTAGTGTATAGAGCTTGGGGCGGATAGGAGAGCATGAGAGTAGGGCGTATAAGGGTGTGTGAGGGTAGAGTAGATAAAGGAGTATGTGAAGGTAGGGCGTATAGGGAAGAAAATAAGCATATAGGGGTGTGTGAGGGTAGGGAGGATTGGAGTGTGTGAGGGTAGAGCGGATAGGAATGATGAGAGGGAAGGGCGGAGAGGGTAGATAAGAGGATAGAGAGGATAGGGCAGATAAGGGCTATGAGAAGGTAGAGCGGATAAGAGAGATGAGATGGTAGGGCCGATAGGGGAGATGAGAGGATATAGGGAAGATGAGAGGGTAGGTCGGATAGGAAAGATGAAAGGATTGGGTCGATGGGGGAGATGAGAGGGTAGAGCGGATAAGGAAGATGAGAGATACGACAGATAAGGGAGATGGGTGGATAGGGAAGATGAAAGGGTATGGGGGATATAGGAGATGAGAGGGTAGGGTGGATAGGGAAGATGAGAGGGTAGGACAGATAGGAAGGAAGAGAGGGTAGGGCCGATGGGGGAGATGAGAGGGTAGGGCGGATAGGAGAGATGAGAGGGTATAAGAGAGAAATAGAGAGAGAGAGAGAGAAAAGGTAGCCAGGCCCTCCCTAGGTGCGGATCCGAGGGTTTGAGCGTGAGAGAGAGAGAGAGGTGAGGGCTCAAACTCGCCTTTCGAGCAAGGGAGAGAGAGAGAGAGGGAAGAAAGAAAAAGAGAGAAAGAGAGAGAAGAGAGAGGAAAGAGAGAAAGAAGAGAGGGAAGAAAGAGGAAGAGAGAGAAAGAGAGAGAAGATAGAGGAGAGAGAATAGACCTATGTCACACCCCAAGAA